CCTTGAAAATATAAACCCCCGAGTTTTTTGACATTAAATGGGTAGAGGTTATGATTAATTGGAGAAATTGGATAAAATGTAAACAAATTTTAAAAGAAGGGTGAAATTTGGTCAGTGTGGCTGAAATTTTTTTTTTCTGTCCTGAGCCCCAATTTAAAAAATTTGAGCCTCTGCTAAAATTTGAGACACTGCCAAATTTTGTTGGTTCCAGTTAAAATTGTATTCAATGTTTAAAGATTGAGGTCGGTGCTCAATTAAACCCGGTTTTTGGCAGATTTAAGACGCGGCTCTAATTAATTAAATTCTGACTCAGCCGGGAAGTTATCACCCATTGAGACCCTGAAACCCTCTCGAACCAATAGATTTCACAGATCCAGTGTAGATACTGGATACACCCCCAAATAAGCCCCTCCTCCCGCACCCTGCTGGGATCTTAGTGGGTATTACTGATTTCAATCAGAGCCAATTTAACAAAATTAAAAAATTTATGTGGATCCAGGCTTAATATCGGAAGTGCACCACTTTTCATGAAGGAGCCTCAAGCAATCCCTACACCTAATGATAAGATTTGATTGGATTGGATTCAATTCGATTACACTGTCATGTTGCCCCTCTATCATTACTGAAGTGTAGAGGTTTTATTGAGAGAAATTAAAGGTTAACTTTAAAGCAGGTTCAAGTTCTAAAAAATACTATTTAAGATGTACTCGGAAGCTGGTCTGGAGTTTAAAACTGCACCAGACAGAAGAAAGTTTATGAACACCAAGTATGCTTTTATGAGGCCAACTGAGGCGGAAATGAAAATCATGACTCAGTAAGTACAATTCCTTGTCTATGTATGTTTGTCAAACAATCATAAACTAGGAATTAATTGATTGCTCAGACAAGAAATTGGTTGCCACCTGGCACCTATACTGTACCTCGTTTGTTCACAACTGCAATTTACTTATTCCTGGATCTGCACTGGAAAAAAGAATCCGGATCCGGTTATTTCTTTAAAAATGACTGAATTTTTTACAAAGCAAAACTTTCAAATTCTATGTCTTATTTTTATGCTGAAACTTGATGAACCATTCAGAAATCATGAAATTTTTATAATCTCTTT